GGCCATTAAAAAGCCAAATCGAGATTAATTTATCTACTGTCCTGATGTTTGCATAAACACAACAAGAATGGTAACTGACTACCTTTGCTGGAATCTCATGGTTGAATCTTAATGTGCCCCATAGGGCCAGGAAGCCACGCCACCCAGCTGCCATCAGGCCCGCCTGCAGTATCTGCTGAGTTAGGTGAATCCCTCACTGTAGAGGGCCGCCTGGGAGGCACCTAGGCATTTTCTTATTATTGTCAGCTGAACTCAGAGCATAGGCAGCCACGCCCTGGGAACATGCTTCCCCAATAAGGCTGGACATGTTAATCAGGCAGGGGCGGAACTAGATATGTAAATCTAGGCCTTTAAAATAAACCTGCTGTGTGGCTCAGCCGCTTTTGTCGCCTCTCCATCAGAGAGGATGGCGCCCACCTGGCCCCAGCTTAAAATCTATTTCTGCATCTTGGTCTTTCTTTAGTTTCTTAATCCCCAGCTCCTCCGCTCAAGAACCTGTCGTTTTCCCCTGCAGGTCACGGGAAACAGAAACAGCCCACCACATTTGGCGCACCGAACAGGGATTGAGTAAGGAGGCAAGAGAAGAAAGCGAGGGGGTCGCTCCTATAAGTGTGCACACCACAGATTGAAGGTAAGGAGTGTATTGTGTGAAATGAATCAACTGGGTGTAAAATATGGGTAATTCAGGGTCTCGGGAAAGAGATCTCTACTCTCAAATACTTAAAAGTATGCTTAAAGCTCGAGGATGTTCTGTTAATTGTAGTCAAATTCTTGATTTCTTTCTTTAAGCTTTGTTGATGAAACCTGGGAAAAGGTTAGAAAGCAGTTGTGTGACCAATACTCAGCAAAAAGTCCAGAGAAAATTCCTGTTTTAATTGGCGATGGCCTTGATTCAGCACAGGAGAATTTAAGAATGTCTAAGTGGGGTGCAGCCACGGCCTTACAGCCTGGAGTGGAAGGGTGCGAGTCTCTAAGAATACCATCTGCACCTCCTCTGCCTCCACGTGTAAACTACTTGTAACCAAGTAGAAAAGGATTAAAGGAATTTCTCAGTAACTGCCAATGATTCTTTATCTTAAAAAATCTTTTCTTTCCTTAAAAAATAATAAAAATAAATAAAAATTGAAAAATAAATAAAGTAAAAAGAGTAAATGCCAGACCATTACTGAATCTTCCCCCTAAGAAACCAGGAGGTGGGGGAAGCCCACATGGCCATCCAATATGGACATCACTCCCCAAGAAAGCCACTTCTTCGTCTCATCTTCGCCACCTTTATCCTTTTTTTTCCAGCTAATGACTTAAAGCTTTTACAAATTCATAAATGCATCCGGGATTTCTGTGCACATGTAAGGGGAAAAGGCCAGTTTAAAACGAGTGCACATAGTTTTGAGCTGAACTTGACCTTTTGCTGTGTACAGATGGCGGAGATGAACCTAAGAAAGAAATACAGGCTGGTTTCCCAAGGCAATTTAAAATAGCTCTTTTGAAATTTCCCGCCCTGAGGCAAGTACCACCAGGAAGTTGATAGTCAAGTTTACATGTGAATAGCTATGGGTTCACTTCTTAACTTCCCCAGCAGGAAAATTGTGACCATTTTGAAATTTAGCAGCCATGCCAGGCTTATTGGCTGGAAACTTAAAACTTTTAAGTTCAAATCATCTAAAAATATTGAGATTTATAATACTAAAATGTTGATCTGAGTATGCCTAGTATGAAGTCTAGATGATAGATGTTAATCTATTAATTGAAAATGCCTTATATTTTATTTGAAATGTATCCTTAAATGTAAAAGTATTGATCTGAAAAATGCTAAGTATTTAATTTGCTACCTAAGATTTAAAGCTCTGAAAGTTTAAGGTCTTATTTCTTGCCATTAAAAAGTTTAAAGCTACACCCTTTTTTAATGGAGGGAGTGGTAGACACGCCCTTCCCCTAGCATTCAGGTAATCCAATTCCTGACAGCAGCCATCTTTAGGAATGTTAATTTGCATTTCAATGGCTACACCTTTTGCTAGCAGACCTTCCCAGAAAAGGTCAAGCGGCCAAAAGGTGGCTCCTTTAAAATCAGCTTTCCACCAGTAGTCATTTTTTAATACCTGCAAGTTTGCTTCTCAGTTTCCCTGGGCAAAAAAAAAACAAAAAAGAAAAAAACATGGTTTAAAGTTAATTATTAGATTTTAATATTTATTCTTAAAAATATAAAAATGTAGTTAATCAAAGAACTGCTAATATTTGACTTGTAAGCTCTGGAAATTCAAAGTGCAAATTGAGTCGGGAAAAATTAATTAAATATCTAAAGTATAACTTGTTTTTGAAAAAATAAAATGTGTGTTCTCCTAAATAATTAGAAATTCAAAATATGTTACTTCTTGTCTGATTTAAAAAATAGGATTAATTTTATGAACTCAACTGAAAATTTTTTAATACAAAAACCAGTTTAAATTTGATTAATATTCTTTAAGATAATTATAAAGGGTATAAACAGCTAATGAGATTTCTGTTTGTCTACAATATAATGTTGGTCATCTATCTTTTAGGGATGTTGGTTTGCTCTGTCAAAGAACAGTGTAGACAGCCACCATTTTGGGCTGCGTGACTTGGCAGCCGCCATGTCAGCCACATGGTTTGCCGCACACCTGGGGGCCGCCATCTTGAAACAGCAAAGGCCCCTCCCTCTGATTTAGCCAAAAAGGAATGTCTTTTCACTGAGGCAGGATGGGATTTCAGGGGTGGAGCTTTAAGGCGGAGTTTTACTACAGAAATGCAGATGGGGCAGAAAGTCTGTTTGCCTCGCATATTTATTTAATACTATTTTTAAGAAGATATTTTTGATGCTTAATAAAGTTAGCAATCACAGTCTTAATATACTTTAAGTGAGATGATAGACCAATGTTTTGAGCAGTTGGCTTTATAAGGGTCGACAATAGAGCTTGTATTCCTTTAATAGGCTAAGTCATTTTTCTAATCACTTAAATCTAGAAAACCCTACTTTCCTTAAACTAAGGACAATTAGAGGTTATATGTTCCCTCCCTAAACAAAAGTTAAATAGCTTATATCAAAGTATTTAAAAGGGACTGATAGCAGTAATCCAATTTTTGTGATCCCAACTGAAATTTTAAAACCAGTTTAAATTTAATTGATATCTCCTAATAATTATAAGTATATAATTTTTAAATCATATATATATATATATATATATATATATATATATATATATATAGATGGTCTTTCAAGTTGGATTTCAAAACTATAACCAAGAAATGACTTTAAGAAATTTCACAGGCCCTGAAAAATTTTCAAAAGTTTATTCTCTCTTTTTGAAGGATTTTTTTAATTTAACCAAATTTAATATATTTGAAATCACATGGAAAGCTTTATCAAATAAAAATTAATAAATATATATTTTAAGTTTTTGCCTCTGAGAAAGGGCAAAACAAGTTATTTTGTTTAATATTTCTTAAAATACAGCAGTGGAATTTTAAGATGTAATTTGCAATAACAAAAGCTCCTTGCTGCTGCATTTTAAAATTAGGCTAGAGATGGGGCAGCGTTTGCCCCTTGTGAATCTAGAGCAAAGAATATTCTTACATGGTATTATTCTACAAGTTTCATTAATAATTTTGATGCTTTAAAACAGTATATTATGCATTTATCCCAAACAAACTTACAAATTAATTCTTTAAATGTTTGGCAACAATTTAATATTTAAGGACATAAAAGTATTTATTCCCTCCTGGGAAGGCACTTAAGCACTCTGTGTTGACCTCTCTTGATCCTTTTTGCCAAGAGGATTCCAATTGTCTACAGCTGTTATCTGAGCTCTTCGTTCAAACTGAGATCATGAAAAGCTGGTACCATGGATCTGTCTCTTGCCCAATGGCGTAAGCTGGGCTCTCTCTGAAGAAGAAACCTGGGTTCCCTATGATCAATGCCGGGGCCCGCCAGCAGGCAAGGGGGGATCCAAAGGCAATTGCTGGGCATGGAGGCCAGAGGGACATAGGTTAACAAGGAGACAGAACTGAACCTCACATCACCCTACTTGGCCCAGAGAGTACGGCTGGTAGTCAATGACGGGTAAGACCCCACATGGTGGGGAGACCTAAGACAGGCACAGTCGGGGGGCCAGTAGGAGAAAACTTGGGGTTCAACAGAGGTGGGGCACAGTTCCTCACCCCCCCAATGGTGTAGGGGCTTGAACACTCGCCCCTTCTGAGGAAGGTCTCCTGTCCCCATGGCTGCTTCTTGCTTCCCATGCCCAGCCCAGATCAGGAACCAAATAACAGAAGAGACTTGGTCCAGCTGAAAATGGTACCCAGAAAAACAGAAGGCTTAGTTTAACAGACTAAATTTAAATCTAGCCTAACAACAGGAATGCTCAAGCCTCCTCAAGGACGTAAAGTGATCCGTAAAGTGATCCTTTCAATTAATATTTACAGTGTAAATTAACATTATTGTTAAAATATTAAATTTGACAGTAAAATAGCTGTCAAGTTTTCAAATTAAATTTGGCTAATTTGAAATAAGTAATTATTCAAAATTTTCATTTCGTGATAAAATTGCTTAACATGCTATGAACCTAAAGCAGTCATATTTTTGTGCAAAAGTTTGAATTTAAAGTTATCTAGACTGCATTGTAAATTTTCCAAAAATCCTCCTAATAATTAAATAAAAAGGGGGGGATAGTGGAAAAATACCATGTAAAGAAAAATATCCTATAACCAAATTTCATTTAGATAAAATTTTTCATTTAATGCTAACAGCAAGACACCCAGAAAAAACACATAAGATCAGGGAAAGCCAGGAGAAGATCATTTTAAAGAAAAGACCCCAAGTAAGGTTTGTCCTTTAACCTTTGGTCGAGAATATGTTTGTATATTTTCAGAGAACAGCTTCAAGACCATGTGGATTCCTGCAACAACAGATCCCAACTGACCAGATTGCTCCAGCCACAAAGACAGGGGAGACAGTTCAAAGATGGAGATGGTGAAGATGCCCTGTCATGATAGCAGTCAGCACCTGTGCATTGCTGCAGGTTGCCCAGGAAGAAGGAGCAATGCAGCCAATTCGGGTGCCAGAGCGTTACATCCATCACCACAACGGACTCAGACAAGCTCCTGTGTCTATTCACTCAAAAGGACTAAGTACTGCCCTAATGACAGCAAAGGGGAAGAAGAAGAAAACTGAAAGACGCAAGGGACTGTTGTGCCAATATGGAGTCATCTGAAGAAGTTAACGACTGAAGCGCAACAGATTGTGGAAAAGCAAGAAGTTGAAGCTACTTCTTCAACCATGTTCCTGCTTGTGCTAGCATCTGTTAGCTGCCAGTCTTCTGCAAAGTCTTGCACAGCCAAGTCCAAGGACTCTGAGTAAATATACATCAGCAGCAAAACAGACTTTTTATTCATTTAGTAGCAAAAATGTTAATATGTCCATAGTTCTGATTTCTTATATTGTTGTTTTGCATTGGCATTGTTTTGTTATTATTTAATAGCCAGTTTTGTTCTTAACGTTCAAAGTTTGAAAATGATAACAAGTATGTAGTTTAGTTTTTGCATTTGCATTGTTTTAATTCTAGAGCCCTACTATTAATGTTTAAAATTTTACTTTTATTATAGTAGCTTAAAAAACAAAAACGGGAGAGATGTAGAGGGCCGCCTGGGAGGCACCTAGGCATTTTCTTATTATTGTCAGCTGAACTCAGAGCATAGGCAGCCACGCCCTGGGAACATGCTTCCCCAATAAGGCTGGACATGTTAATCAGGCAGGGGTGGAACTAGATATGTAAATCTAGGCCTTTAAAATAAACCTGCTGTGTGGCTCAGCCGCTTTTGCCGCCTCTCCATCAGAGAGGATGGCGCCCACCTGGCCCCAGCTTAAAATCTATTTCTGCATCTTGGTCTTTCTTTAGTTTCTTAATCCCCAGCTCCTCCGCTCAAGAACCTGTCGTTTTCCCCTGCAGGTCACGGGAAACAGAAACAGCCCACCACACCTCACCTGTAGCAACTCCACCTGAGCCCACGCTCTAGGCTTTAAGCCCATCTCAGTAGCCCTCCTACTTGTTGCGGCCCAGAGTGTGTGGGGGTTCCGCAGGAACTCAGAGGCATCCCTACTGCTTCCCTTCTACTCTTACCAATCGCCAGTGATAGTAGGGCATGGGCCTGATGCTCCAGCACCAGCCATCTTCAGGGCTTCCAAGCAGGATACCAGGCTTTCTTCGTGGCATTTTTACTGGCTTCAAGTCTTTAGAGCTCAGACAGGGCTCTTTAAAACATGATACTCCAGTCAAAGTTTTCTGTTAATAAAACCACTATTAGGAACCGGTCTTATTGAATCTATGCAAAGAAATGTATTGCCATGACTTATTTAGCGTTGCCAAATTTCGGAGGAATTACACAAGAAGAAAAATATACTGATCTACTCTAAGATTTTCTGACTTTCTTTGCTATTTTCTTTTCATGGATTTAAAACAAAACAGCAACTGTTGGTATGAAACTTTCTTTTTATGCATAATCATGCCTTAGATTTTTATTCTAACCAGGCTTTTCCCAGCTTTACTACCCCTGACATGGGCATGGTCACGCAGGCCTGCAAGCTGTACACAGGCTGCCAACTTTCAACTGTCTCTCAACAGTGACCAAAACCTGATGGGCACCGTTCCCTGCTCAGTTGGGCACCTGCCCTCTTGGCAGCTAGGCACCCTTTACTTTTGGGGGTCACCCCACACAGTTCTCTTTCAGGATAACCAATATACACTCAAACCTGCAAGAGAATTAAAGGTCAATATAACATATCAATACAATGAAACATAATATTGACATTATGGCCGCTTTAGGCAGCCAAAGCTTCTGCTACTAAACATGTGATACTAAAGTCTATTCCTGACCTTCCTATGAATTGTCCTTGTCTTTTTGGAGCCATGTCCATGAAGGTGTAGGCATTATTTAAATCCATTCAATATTACCAGCATCAGGTAGGTCGAGCACGCTGTAGCTTGAGCTTGAGCGGGTTGCGTTGATCTCGATCGACGCTCCATTTGGTGATGAAGTCTTTTTGGACCATGGATGGGTCCGCTGACCGGACGTGAGTGTGATGGATCCAGGTCGCGACGCCGTCTACCTTGAGAGCAGTGGAGGTCGTTAGCACCACAGTGTAGGGACCCTTCCAACGTGGCTCAAGAGTTTCTCGATGATGCCTTCTGATGTAGACCCAATCTCCTGGTCTGTGCCGATGAGGAGTTGGGGTTGGGCTGGTCTCATAGATGGCGCGGAGGCGTGGCCAAATGTCCTCGTGTGCCCTCTGGAGCCTTCTCAAGGAAAGAGATAGTTAAAGAAAAGGGTTTTATAGGGGGTGGCCTGCCAAACATGATAGGAGAGCCACCCAGTCCCCGCCAGTCTCTGAGTCAGATTCCTCCTCATTTGGAGAAGTTCAAAGTCCTGATGGCTTCTAGGTAACCTTGTTTATTAGTTACAGCACTTTGCTTTCTTGCCTTTCTACCAGTTCCCTTTGTGGCAGAGCAGCAACCAGGCCTTTTTCAAGGGAGTGTGCTAGGAGAGGGTATCAGCCCCTCCTTTGCTAGCAGCAATAGGTACCAAACCCTTTCAGTACATTAGACCAGCTTCATTCCCGCCTATCTTTACAGATTCCAAGGCCCATTGTCTTCCTTAATCAGTACTGGCCTGTATTATCTAATTCAGCACAGGCAGGGGGAAGGGCCCATTAAATCTTTGCCTTGAGGAACTGTGAGCCCCATCCTTAAATGTCCCAATCAGACTAGAAAAGCCATAAATACCTTTTAAATTTACCCTAGAATTCCAAAATCTCAACCCAGCATAGAATATCACATAGCAAATCAAAGTTCCCAGCAAACAAACAGATAGAGATGTTTACTAGTTAGGCGGGCCGATTCCACCTCTGGCAGAGAGCAAGCGCCCTTGGGGAAAGATCCCAGCGGCCACTCAGGGTGCTTTGCTATCGGTCAGAGCATTCAGCCTTAAGAAATCAAGCGTGTGCCTTTTTTTTTCACAGACTTTCATATGTATATGAACAAACAATTATACCCAAGTAGATATACAAATATTAAATAAATATTTACACTTACATTCTTTCAGTGAACAAGTCCTTGACCTATGTCTTATCCAGATAGAAACGGCACTCATCACAAACAAATAAACAAACAAATCCAAAACCAAAACCCAAGAAAACCAAGGCCAGAAGTACCCTCTGATGTTTCAGGGGTACCAAGGAAGGAGAAGTTAGGCCACGTCCAGCCCTTCTCACAATCCACCAGTGACCAGTCCCAGCTCACTGGTCTATCACTTACTCAACATTTTATTTTATTTTTTTTCCATCACACCAAAGCCATGCTTTCCAGTTAGAACTCTTAGCCTTAATTTTTAGGTGTCATGTAAATAATGAACATTTCTCAGATTAGTAATACATTCAAAATTTTTTTAGAAATTTCACTAGTTATACATATTTAAGCAATAAGGACAGATCAATTTACAGAAACCAGTTTCTACCTGAAATAATCGTACTTTAGAAATTGGATTACTGCTATCCGTTCCTTTTAAAGACTTTGCCATAACCTTTAATTGTCTTTAGTTTAAGGAAAGCAGGGTTTTCTAGATTTAAGAGATTAGCTTAAAAATAAATCCGCAAGGCAAACACACTTCCTGCCCCATCCACATTTCTGCAGCAAAACTCTGCCTTAAAGCTCCACCCCTGACTAAATCAGAGGGAGGGGCCTTTGCTGTTTCAAGATGGCAGCCCCCAGGGGAGCGGCAAGCCATGCGGCCAACATGGCGGCTGCCAAGTCACGCAGCTCAACATTGTGGCTGTCTAACTGTTCTCTGACAGAAAAGGTGATTTCTTTATTCTCACAATAAACAAGGGAAGAGCAAACCAAAATCCCTAAAAGATAGATGGCCAACATTATATTGTAGACAAACAGAAATTTCATTAACTGTTTATACCTTTTATAATTATAATTAAATTTAAACTGGTTTTTGTACTAAAAATTCAGTTGAGATGTTAAAATTAATCCTCTTTTTAATCAGACCAATGAGTACAAAAACAAGTTATACTGGCAGAAAGCTGATATCAAAGGAGCCACCTTTTGGCCGCTTGACCTTTTCTGGGAAGGTTGGCTAGCAAAAGGTGTAGCCATTGAAATGCAAATTAACATTTCTAAAGATGGCTGCTGGCGGGAACCGGACCACCTGCATGCTAGGGGAAGGGCGTGTCTACCCTGCCCTCCACCAAAAAAAGGGTGTAGCTTCAGACTTCCCAACGGTGAGAGAAAAAAGACCTTAAACTTTTAGCTGGCAAGTTAAATATTCAGTCAACCAATAGATTTAATTCTGTTCTTTAGATTTTTCATGAGGCAAATTAGAGTAAACTACTTTTTTTACTTCCAAGCGGCTTTGGAAAACCACATTTGAGCCCTGAAACAAGTTCTGGCCTACCTGGTCTTTTCAGATGTAAATTGACCACATTCTTTAAGATTTTGCTGCAGGCAGGAGGAGACTATCTCCTTCCTCCATTAAGAAAAGCTTTCTTAATTAACAAGGGACCATCTTTTTTTCCCTTGGAAAAACTGTTATCATGGAAATGCCAATCCTGCTGCTAGAATTTAGCTAGCATCTCTTTCTGTACATTTGCAAGGAGCTTCCAGCTTAAAATTCTATCCAAAATCGGATAGTGTGCACATTAGTTCTAAGCCAGCTTTTCTTCTCACACGTGCACAGAAATTTCAGACGCATTTACCTGGGGAGGGTGTGACCTGTTTTCATAGGTCCTTACTCAGTTGCCCACCGGACCGAAATCCTGTAGCCACACAAAGGAGGGGAGAAGGCAGGCCCCCTCCCTCCACACTCACATACTTTCACCAGATATTCATTCAGAGTTTAAACAATCCATTCAATTTCTAACAACTTCCCAATTCCTGAGGGAGCTCTAAAGCCTCCCGCAATTTCCTTGAAATGATCAAATCACAATACCCAAAGGAGCAGTCTGAGTCCATTCCATAACATCCGTCCAGTAAGTTCACAGAAAGAAACATATAAACACAGAAAACTAAATGGGCCCGAAAATACAGCCTTCCAACTCCATGGAAGCGAAACCAAAACAATCTTCCAACTCCATGGAAGCAACTAGACGATGGCATTACGCCAAACCAGCGGGAGCGACCCACCTTGTCTCAGATTGGGGTTTCTACAGACCTTCCGACTCCGCGGAAGCAAAATTACACCCCTACAGATGGAGGGCCGAGGCGTCCCCCGACTCCTCCTGCCCTTGATCCCCGTGCGTGCATCCACTTAAGATCAATGTGAGCGAATACAGATTTCAGAAGTGAGCTCACACAGGATAGAAACAAACAGATACAAACATACAAGGACACATACCGCGGTCAGCCAGACCCTCGAACTGGGGTTCCCTGGATGGTGATGGGGATCCCGGATGAGAGCCCCCAAATGTTATGCCCAGATTTCAAGATCCCCACATACCAACAGGGAGCCATGTTCGATGCAAAAGCAAAAGGTCCTTTTATTGAGCTAGCCAGCCCGACTCCACTCCAGGCCAGCGCAGCGACCGCAAGCAGAGTGCCCCCGCCTGGGAAAAACCGGGTTTTAATAGGGGGGTGGAGCGAGGGGATTGTGGGCCCTGCCGATTGGCCAGGCGCAAGCCGGGTCTTGTTACACAGGATGTGGTCATATCTACGGCACGCAGTTCCCTTGATTGTCATTGGTTAGTTTAAAATCCCGGGCGTGGCCAGCAGAGGCCTGGGCTTCCGGGAAGAAGGCCGCACGTGGAACATGGAGGATACAGGCAAGATGGAGGGCATAGCCTCTCGCCCTTTCAAGAGAAACACACCGATCGGTTGTCTCCTGCACAAGCCCTGACTAGGGCCTGGGCTGAGGAGGAGCCTGCAAACCAAGATACATGCCCCTGACCGGAATTGAATCCAGGACCCTTCGGTCCATAGGCTGACGCTCTATCTACTGAGCCAAACAGGCTAGAGCTATTTTTATATTTCTTTTTTGTTAATTCTTACCCTAACATATTTCTCCTGTTGCTTTTCAGAGAGTGGAAAGGAGGGAGGGATGGAGAAAGAGAGAGAGAAAGAGAGAGAGAGAGAGAAACATCGATGTGAGAGAGACACATCAACTGGTTGCCTCCCACACATGCACCCCGGCTGGGCCGGGGATCAAACCTGCAACCTAGGTATGTGCCCTTGACCCAGAATCAAACCCAAGACTCTTCAGTCTGTGGGCCAATGCTCTAACTGCTGAGACACACCAGCCAAGACACACCAGCCAAGACAGGATTAATACCTTTAAAAAGAGACCCCAGAGAACTGCTTTACTTCTTCTGCCATGTAAGGATACAGTGAAAAGACAGCCAGTGTATGAAACAGAAAGTGGGTTCTCATTGGATACTGAATCTGCCAGTGCTTTAATATTGGACTTCCCAGCTTTCAGAACTTTGAGAAACAAATGTTTGTAGATTCAGCCACCATGTATTTTTATTATAGCAGGCTGAAAGGACTAAGACAATCAAGAATAAGCTTGTTCAAGGATGTCTATTCTTTCATTATTATTTAACATTGTACTGGAGATTCTACAGAGGGCAATTAGGTGAATGAATGATATCCAGATTGAAAAGGAAGAAGTAAAACTTTGATAATAGATGCCATTTTCTTATATAGAGAGAATCCTAAAGAATTCACATGAAAAAGATTAGAACTAATAAGTGAGTTCAGCAAGGTTTCAGCATTCATGATCATTATTAAAATAGCAATTCTGTTTCTATACACTAGCAACAAACAACCCCAAAATAAAATTCATAACACAATTCAAATGCATTCATAAAGTAGTCAGGGAAAACTTAATAAATGAAGTGCAAGATGTTGTATACTGAAAACTATAACACATAGCTGAAAGTAAAAAGTAAAAATATTTTTCATGTTAATGAAATGGGATACTTAATATTATTAAAATAGCAATACTCTGCAAGGTGATCTACAAATTTAACAGAATCTTTATAAAAAATCTCAGTATGGCCTGGCCGGTGTGGCTCAGTGGTTGAGCATCGATCTATGAACCAGGAAGTCAAGGTTCTATTCCCGGTCAGGGCACATGCCCGGTTTTCCGTCGCGATCCCCAGTGTGGGGTCTGCAGGAGGCAGCGATCAATGATTCTCTTTCATCATTGATGTTTCTATCTCTCTCCTCCCTTCCCTGAAATAAATAAATATATATATATACATTTTAAATCTCAGTATGATTTTGGTAGGAATTGATGAACTGACTTTTCATATGGGCTGAAAGGGATTCAGAAAATTAAGGTAGTAATCCTGAAAATGAAAAACAAAGTTGAAGGACTCACATTTTCTGATTTCAAAACTTACCACAAAGCTGCAGTAATAAAGATAGTGTATTTCTGGCATGAGGATACACATCTAGTATTAAGAAACAAGCCCTTTCCACGCGGCTGCGGAGCCGATGGCTGACGTACTTCATGGCCGTCAAGTCCAATGGCAGCGTCTTTGTCCGGGACTCCTCCCAGGTTCACCCCCTCGCTGTTCTGCTCCTGACCGATGGGGACGTCCACATCCGTGATGACGGACCACCATCTCGCTCAGTGACAGCGACCTGCTGAGGTTGGAGGGTGACTCTCGCACTCTGCGGCTGCTGCGAGATCTGCGCCGGGCCCTGGGCCGCATGGTGGAGCGAAGCCTATGCAGCGAACTGCCCCTCGAGGTGCAGCAGGAGCACGGGCAGCTGCTGGCCCTGCTGGCGGAGCTGCTGCGGGGGCCCTGCGGCAGCTTTGACGTGCGCAAGGCGGCCGACGACTGAGCCCCGCTCTGAGGGCTGTGTACAGAGAGCAGATGTTTATCTACACTGATAAAAGAGAAACTTGGTAATTAGCGTACGACTGCTACCCTTTTCATTGGCTAATCAGTGAGTATATGCAAATTAACTGTCAGCCAAGATGGCGGCCGGCAGCCAGGCAGCTGGAACCGAACATGAGGCTTGCTTGCTGCGGACTCCAACGTTCCCGCCTCACTAGCCGGCCTCTGAGCTACAACTCTAAGCAACTATGTACTATGTTGCAAATAAGAAGCTAAACAAAACACCAGAAACCGGCTTTCATTCAGCCAGGCTTTAGCAACATTGTATCGATGTTTCAGCAGCGAGGCCTCAGAGCTAAAGCTGCCCCAGATAAAAAAAAAAAAAAA